AATTATCTGGTTTATGAAGAACATACAAATCTCTCTCTCTCTATATATATATATAAGGAAGAATTCAAATGAGAACACTTTTATCTTACGAGAACGCTAGAACAACATTTTATTATAGACAATCACATATGTAACATCCCAAAATTTCCAATACTACAATATAACAGAACTAGTATCCAAGATCAAACACTTACATTGCAGCGGAAATAAAATTTCTAATCTYACAATTTAYATCACTATCTAAACTTACAATCTTGACGAACATACTTTGCTCGATATAACAATGCCTTGATCTGCACATGTCATTCTTTGATGCTAATCCTTATTTCTCTCTTTATCCAACTTTTCTTTCCAGTCTAATAGCCGCCTGGGTGAAAAAGTTTTTAAAGAGTTTTGGGTGAGCCTTAGGCCCAGTGAATCCACGGTTTTCATGCATGAACAACAACTTTTAAAATAAACAATTTTCACGAAGCTTCATAAATTTAGCATGCCTTGATGAGAATAACACTTTTCACAATATAAATATATTATAGTGCGTGTCTACATCACAAAGCAACAACGTCATGGAAGATGTCTACCTCACATAGCATTACCTGGCGAACTCACACAGCATGTCCGCACTTACGGCTTAGACAAGCTCACAAAACATGCTTGTCTTTACAAAATCATACTGTAGTACATCCCTATTGACACACAAATACACAAAACACATATTATAAAATTATCCCACTTTTCACGCATATATAACGTATCAAAAATCTCGAGAAGCTTCAAACAACTTGTGGATAATAAGAAATAAGGCATGCAATCATTTTAAAAATAAATCACGTGTAACTCACCATACAGGTCATAACTCCAAACCGTTCCTCGAAGTTTCTCATGTTCTCCCAAAAAAACGCATCAAACTTGTTACGCTTCACCAAATCATCCTCATCTTTCACCTCTCTTATACGAGTTTCCTTCCCCGAGAATTTGTCATCTCTATGCTTGAAGACCTCCCCATATATATACTTAGTCATCGGCGGTTTCACGGAATATGAAACGATAAGCCATAATTAATGGTCGTAGGTTTCATGACCATTGAGTTTCCTGTCATTAAATTACAATTAATTTTTTTTTTGGTAATTACAAACTTTCCCCCTTAACAAAATTTCGTCCTCGAAATTTGCCCTATGCATATAAATGAGGACATATCAATCTCGTCCCCTTATCAAGTTCCCAAGTAGCCTCTGAACCATTATGACGTCTTCATTGAACATTCACGAAAGAAATCTCTTTGCTTCTTAGTTTTTTTTTTATCATCTTTTCTTAACATCCTTAATAGTTACGACTTTCTTTTTGCCTACTAAACACTTTCTTAAATTAGATATATTGTGCCATAAATTTCACCATACCAACTATTTTATTGTCTGATGTTCTAAACATCCGTTCATCTTTTTGGAAATAACTTATTGATTTTCCAATAATCTTCTATCCATCGCTAACTTGAGCATTATTTTMTAATGAACGATGGACTACCTTCGATCCATCCATCCGTCTCTTTTATTTTCGATGTTAGTTCGACAAACCGGCTGACATTTATCACATAACTCTTCGAGTTGCTCTACTCGAGTACTCCTTTGATAGTCATTAATTATAAGTGAACGCATTCAAGTCTAAYCRGTTATTCCAAATGTCACTAAAGGTTACCCCACATAGATACCACCCTGTTATTATTATCTACAAAATATGGCAACATGCAAGCATTCATCATATTCTTCGTAAATTCTTTCATAATTCAATTATGCATCTAACATCACACATTTTCATATTCATGCATTTRTACATACATGTGCTTTTCTCTTGCCCTTGAGATGTCTTTTGCTATTGAGTATAGGCTATACAATCCATTCTCTAGATAATGTCTCCATATTTCGAACTCCACTATCACTGCTACTAATTTCAAATCATACATTTTCAATTACCATGACATAAATACTATATCATTTCATTTTTTCACCGACATACCTCATAGTTCCAACATTGTAACATCATTATATACAAAAAAAAAAAAAAAATCCTCTGTCTAATCTGGCAGTAACACTCTTGGCATAGTTCTTCCTTCCAATCTCTGGCATACTTCATTTGCTTTCCAGCCCGATCAAGTTTACGATATTATATGGTTACATTACATGCTTCATGATAATTGATGTACATTCAGTCTTCCTGACTACATAAACATCATTCATCTTACTCCAATTTTATCACTTTCAGATCATGCTAACATTAGCAATTATAGATACCAAGATGATGATGTTCACCAAGTAACTTATTATATTTCCATATTTTTTTCTCTAACCTTTTATCAATTCAACTATCTTTACTTTCAGTTTTACCTTTAATTATATTTTAGATTTTTTATATTTAAAATGAAATGTTTATCTTGTATTTGACTATGTTTATCCGCAGTTAGTTACACGAATTCAAACATGAAGCTTTAATAAGTTGTAATTATGCACAATTTATTTGTACTCTTGAATTTTAAGTAATATGCAT